TATATATATATATATATATATATATATATATATCAGCTTGCCCAACAGAAGCGAGCGGTTAGAAAGTACCAGTTCCAGGTGTCTAAGAAATCAGAAAACTGCTGCAGCCAAATACTAGTCTTGAAATGGTATAAAAGTTGAGCACAGACTCATTTCTAATTACCCTATCGGACTTTTATTTCTAATTGCCCTATCAGACTTTTAAATTCCAGAAATCCTCAAGCAGCCACTGTTCCGAAGTTAACGACTCAATACTCTCAAAGCGCCTTTAATTGTACGAAACGCGAGAACTTCACCAAACCACAGACAAATAATTATGTCGCTTCATGCATACCGTCCCAGTACCGAACCCAACTCTTAATTTAACTATTCTTCCAGCTTGTGCCCGAATTGCTCTTACACTCCACTGTCACCTTTAAACCCTTCCACTTTTTTCAGTCATAAACCGAAGAACTTTCTTAAGCTGGAAAAAGTCCAGATGCACCTTGCATCCCCAAACGAGTGTGTAGGAAGACACTCTCTAAGAATTACTGAAAATCCTTAACCACAGTACCACTTTCTTTCAGCAAAACATACGTAGCCCCGACAATATCCGTGGAACCAGCAACCCGCATGAACAGCCAAACACCTCCAGATGGCTTAGACTACCTCATCTTAACTCACCAACTCAAGCACCGATTTGCAAAATACGGCAAGGCAGGATGCACATTCAAAAGCAGCGTCCTAATCATAACCATCTCAGTTACTGAAAAAAAATCATTCCAAAACGTGTTGCCACTACTCTACCTCCCCGCAACAAGCAAAGTCAAAAAAGTAAACAATAACAGTTAGCCTGTATGCATCCTGTTGGTACTTACAACGTTTACAGTAACAAAAGACCGAAATAAACAACACCGTATCTTTAATCCAAGCAAAACCAAGCAAAGTAGCTTAAGTGCATATAAAAAAGAATCCTTCAAACAAAAAAGTAATAACTAGGTTGGGCAGTCAATGGTGTCTTCCAGATACTACCCATCAGTACCAAAAAATGATCAAAAAGAGATAATTAGCAGATCATGGCTGTCCAGAAAGGAAAGCTTAGCGCTAAGATGAATAAGTATAAACCAAAATAAAAAAAAAAATTTATTTTGAGAAATCTCAACCTTTGATCAACAAATAATAAAAGGTACTCGCTCGGTTCAAACAAAGATACACTACTTTGCAAAACAAATCCCCCTCCTGCGAATGTAGCAAAAAAAACACCATTCTACTCGCCCTATCTATTACGGTGTAACCAGTGCGTTCAAACTAAACATTTCTAAGAACCAGAAACATCAAATACAAACAGAAAGATTAGACAAGATGGTGAAATTGCACAAATACACAAAATACTACACGCGCAACCTTCATAAATTAATTTTTTACATAACCATATATTTAATAACAAGGAAGCAAAAAGCAAAGAAATTGCAAAAAGTCCAACCAAAGTTCAGCAGAAAGAATCAGATGAAAACAATAAGTCAGCTAGCCAGAACAAACATTTCAACCTTGGTATTTTTAAAAAATCTACACAAAATAACATCTGAATAACAACCCCGTAAAAGCCCAAAACACCTAAGCTCGATACTAATAAATCAATAAGATGTCACTTCTAATACTGTTAAATTGACACTCGTCGCCAATCACAAAGATATGAGAAACATTATACTAGAAAGCGATTCTAAACATAAGAATAACAAAATCTTATCTCTGCATATATAAGGAGCAACTCCTTTAAATCAAAATTTCCAGCCTAAGAATTTATAC